TCAAATTAAGCGAGAATTGACATGAGTAAATTAGCTGATCATCACTATTGTTAAGTTTGAGTCCCTGATTTCTCACAATGATTTCAGTTTCATCAATCGATGGTTCCTAAGAAGAAAGTCTCTCAAGCTTATTAGATAGGCTAGACAAACTCGTGTTAACTCACAGCCATATTAGGTTGATCAAGTAGTCAAACCATCGCTCAGGTAAAAAAGCTATATTAAAACCCACTAGCGTCCTGTAAAAACATCGACTCATTATAGATAGATAGCTGTAAAACAGTAAGTATGTGCAATGTAGAATTACGAAATGACTCATAAAAGGTCACAAATTACACCACAAAAAGAAAAAAAAAGGAAACAATACGACGACTGGATGCTATTGATTATCATTATGATTCATATCATATCTTTTTCAAACTTAACCTATTGGTTTTTTCTATCATTTGACAAGATACAGTTTTCATACATACAAAGAGAGTTTTAGAGTTTGTTAAGGAGCAGCAGTTCTGTATCGGCAGCCAAGTAAGTCTTATAATTTTAAGACAATAATATTTTGAGTACTTGCTAAAAACAACTTTCCAAAAAATTGTTAACTTTTTCTACATTTAGAATGGGTTTGTATTTTTAATCAAAACGAGTATTTTCCTTAATTCCAAGAAAGGAAAAAACATTTTTGGTCACCGCACCTGTTTGAAAGTACGAAGGACCATTTACCTTTTTGGAAAAATCCGACTACAAAGAAAAAGCCGCCCGCAGAGATTGACGTCAGTTAATATACTTGTCATCACTATTGCTAAGTTTGAGTCCTTGAGTCCCCATAGTAATTGCATTCTGATCTCTTGGTTCTTACAGTGGTATCCTCTTAAGTTTATTAGATAAGCTAGACAAACTAGTATTAACTCACAGAAATTCCAGGTTGATCAAGTTGTGAATCAATCGCTCAGGTAAAAAGGTATTATTATTATCTACCAGTATCCTGTAAAAATATTGACTCATTAAAGTAAGTTTTTTCATGATTTGGTCTATTCAAATATTCTTTTAATTGATTTTTTTACGGTTGGTTATTCCTCTGAGAATGGATTTGTACTTTTAATCAAAAAGAGTATTTTCCTTAATTCTAAGAAAGGAAAAAACATTATCGGTCACCGCACCTGTTTGCAAGTAAGAAGGACGATTTACTTTTTTGGGAAAGTCCGACTATGAAGAAAAAGCCGCCATATTTTAAGGTGCACGCTAGTTGTACGGTAAGTAAGAGCAATGAAACGCGACGGAATGACCTTATAGAGGGCACAAATCACAACAAAAAAGGGTTTTCATAATAAAAAAGACCACTAAGAAGACGGCTGGATAGTATTGATCACCATCATTTTAAGGTTTGATCAAAAATGACTGCATTGAATAAAGAAAAGCAAAGGTTTAAGCCAGTTAATATACTTATCATCACTATTGCTAAGTTTGAGTCCTTGAGTCCTCAGAATAATTGCATTGTGATCTCTTGGTTCTTAAAGTGGCAGCCTCTCATGTTTATTAGATAAGCTAGACAATCTCGTGTCAACTCACAGCTCTTCCAAGTTGATCAAGTTGTCAAACAATCGCTCAGGTAAAAAGGCTATATTATTATCCACCAGCACCCTGTAAAAAGATATACTCATTAAATTAAGTTAATTTATCAGTTGATCTATTCAAATTTTCTGTGAGCTTATTTTTTACGTGTGATTATTCCTTGTGTAGTTATTATTGAGTACTTGCTAAAGACGCCTTTCTTAAAAATTGTTAACTTTTTCTACATTGAGAATGGGTTCGTATTCTTTTAATCGAAAAAGATTGTTTCCTTAATTCCAAGGGAAAAAAACATTTTTGGTCACTGCCCCTGTTTGCAAGTAAAAAGGAAGATGTAATTTTTTTGGGGGAAAAAATCCGACTATACAGAAAAGGCTGTCATTGTTTTAATGTGCACGCTATTTGTAAAGTATATGCAATGTAAAATTACGGAATTACCTTTTAAAGGGCACAAATCACAACACAAAAAGGATAATCATTAAAATAAAAAGCCACCAAGATGACCGCCGAATGCTATTGATCGTTGTTCTTCTTAGGTTTGATAAAAAACGACTGCTTTAATTGCAACAAAAAACGAAATATGATGTCAGTAAATGAACTTATCCTCATTATTGTTAAGTTTCAACCCTAAAGTTTTCACCATAATATCAGTTAGGCTGATTCTTGGCTATTACAGAGCAAGCCTCTAAATTTTTAGAAAAGCTAGACAAACTCGTGTTGACTCACAGGTGTTGCAGGTTGATCAATTTGTCAAACAATCCCTCAGGTAAAAACGTTATGTTATTAGCCTTTAGTTCCCTAAACAAACATCGACTCATTAAAGTAATTTTAATTAACAATCGATCTATTCAAATTTCCTGTGAGGAAAAAGTATTTCCTCGATTCCAAGAAAGCAAAAAATCCATTTGAGGTTACCGTGCTCGTTTGTGAGTAGAAAAAACGATTTATTATACTAGGAAAATGCGACCAAAGAAAAAAATCCGCCATTTTCAAGGTGTCAAGCTAACGAAGTGTGAAATTACAGGCAATGAGCAAGTGCAATTCAGAGTTACGTTCTCCCAATAACTTCAGGCTGATCTCTTGGTTCATACTGGGCAAGCCTCTAAAATTTATTAGATAAGCTAAATAAACTCGTGTTAACTCACAGCCAATACAGGTTGATCAAGTTGTCAAACAATCCCTCAGGTAAAAACGCTATATTATTATCCACCAGTTCCCTGAAAAAACACCGACCCACTGAAGGAAGCTTGTTTTATTAGTTGATATTTCAATAGCTGATATTTTCAAAAAACCCTTTTTTCATCTACCCTGAGGTTAATTTTTTACGGTCATTCCTCTGAAATAGTGGTTGCAGTAAAATTTTTTCAAACTTTGCCCATTGGTTTTTTATCTTATGGCAAATTAAAGTTTTCAAATAAAAAAGGAGGGCTCTTGACCTCTTTAAGGAGCAACGGTTCTTTGTAGAAACTCTTATTTACGAGTATTTGCTAAATTCTTCTTTCCGAAATCATTTGATACACTGAAAAGTATTTTTTTTAAGGAAAAATAGTATTAGCTCGATTACAAGAAATGGAAATACATGTAAAATGATAGGTCACCATACAAGTTCGCGAGAAAATTACGATTTACCTCTCAGGTGAGCTCCCATCATATAGAAAAAGCCGCCAGTTTTTAATTTGTGCACGCTATAAGCTAGTTACTAGTTAGTTAGTTTGAATCATGGGGAGTAAGCATGTGCAATGCAAAATTACACCAAGACAAGAAAACACCGACTAAGACGACTAGAAGGTATTCATCATCGCTATTTTCATTATTTTATAAAGCCTTCAATTGACATCGGTCGATGAACTATTCATCGCTATAGTTTGGGTCCTTGAGTTCTAATAATAATTTTAGGGTAAAAGAACTGGGGATATATATATGTAAATTTATACACACACACACATATGTATACGCATATATAAATAATGAAAAACAAACAAACAAATAAAGACAACGAAGACGAGAATCGATTTTTTTTCGTACTTACAGTGTGCTCAAATTGATTAAGTCAACAAATATTCCCCCAGGTAGAGAGGTTATGTTGTTTCCAGACAAAGTACTGTAAAGGCAATTTATCACCAGAAGTATCACAAGATTAACTGTTGCCCTTGAAAACGGTCGTTGAGAGTGTTCCCATTTTCATGTTTATAACTAGAATAAGGTGTTCCATAGGCCGCTAGCTAAAACTTAACCAATCCAACCTCTCCAACGTAGGCCAAGGATTTAATGGTATAGGATCGGGTATTCTCCGCAACGATCACATGCAACTAAGTGAAAAAAATGTTTGGTTGGTTGTCAAAACGTGATAAATTTAAGATTAGACTGTTTTCGCAAAGAGCTTAGACCGATTAAGTTGGTGAACTTTCCCTCAGGTATTCACGAATCGCACCATTTTTTGCTTTAAATCGCACCTTTTTCCCAGCCAATGAGGAGGCTACACTAAAAACAAAACAACCAGTCAGATTTCAAGGCTTTTTTAAAGAAATCAATGAAATTGCAGGAAAATAAAAAACAAAGAGTATCATGCGGCAAATTTTGCAACTTCTGTTTCCAAAACTCTTATTTCTTCTCCTCCAAAAATGGATGAATTTAATTTCAAACCGGCTCAGTACTGCATCAATAAAATATTTGAACTGACCAAGTCTTGTATTTGGACGATTTCAAAATGGATTTAATAAAGTGGTAACTGAACCTCGTGTCGTGCAATTTTAGTCTGAAATCATACTTGTGATTTCAAATCGAACTCGCGTTGCGCACTCGTTCAATTTTGAAATCAAGCATATGATTTCAGCCCAAATTGCACTCCACTCAGTTCAATTAGCATTATTTATCAAATTACAGTATCTTGCGAGTTAACTAATTCGGGCTTTCTGCATCTCAAAAAAATAAGAAAAAAGCAATTGTCGCCTCTACATTATGGGAAATTCTTACTTACAGATTTCTTAGCTCTATAAGGCCAAGAAACGTACTAGCCAGAAGATTGGATAGGTTGCTTGAATAAAATGTTCTGTAAATAGAGGTGCAGGTCAAGGCGGGGACAGCCCCAAGAAAAAACGGAAAACTTTCCTGCCACACCGAGGCAAATTGCATTTTCTTTACTGGCTTATGAACAGTTAGAAGCAGCCACAAACTCAGGAATTCTGGTCATAAACAAATTAAGGAGTATGCACGAGTTATAAAAAAAATAATAACAAAAAAATAAAAGCAGACGTAAAGCATCTTATCGATACATAAGCAATGATAATTATTAGCCTAGTATGTAATGAGTCCAGTTTTAAACAATGTAGTCTAATTAAGGTTCATATGCCGGTGTGCAAGTGCCCCGAACTTTAGTGCATTGTCAATCAGAACTGAGCTTAGCCCTAAAAAGCTTGTTTGTGCCTTATTTTTATAGTCTCTTACAATGTTTCTGTCAACGGTGAAAGACACATCTTAAGTTGTGTTGCTGTCACGTTTTCACAGAAGAGTTCATTTTGAATGCGACTGTTGAACCTCGGAGAACAGGCATGTCCACAATCTGAAAGAAAGAAAGGAAAGTATAGGAAAGGCAAACTAGCAAAACTGATTAAATTAAATCCTTGGATCAATGAACTCCTGTTTTAAACAACATTGATATGAAGTAGAGAGCAAAGCGCTGTTAATTTGAATCTGAGTGTGGAGGAAAATAAGTTAAGTTCATTTCGCAAACCACGAGCACTGCTTAATACAGGTTCGATTCGATGGGTAGAGTTTTTGGAACCTCATTTCACTCAGAAATTCCTTACCTCTAGAAATCACAGTGAAATCTCTCGTATCATATCCATACTTGCTAAGGGCAACAGAGGTGTAATTTGACCCATTATAGAACTGAAAGGCTGCAGTATATGTTGTGTTTACCAACACGGTAGAGTCTCTTATTATTGCTGTGTATATTGGTGGAGTTCCAGTCACCGGAATTTTCACTCTGTAACCTGGGAAAGCTTCCACAACGGCTGGTAAGGATATTTCGGGGGGAACTAGGTAAAAAAAAAATTAAAATGTAAAACAGTTAGTGGTCAGACTAAGTTAATATTACATGAACTTTTCCCAGATTTACCATATGAAATTGCTCCTGTGGTTATAAAGATGCGTGCGCTCTGATTGGTCGGGGATTGCGTCATATCTAGATATAATCACCTCACGCGAGGTGATTATGACATTGGCGCTTAATTAATTTCAAAATGGCTGCCTCGTGTTTAGCAAAGTTACCGAGGAAGAGAGAAACGTGATAGAAAAAAAAATTCCGAATAACAAAAGTTGCAGCTGTGTTTTTTTGCAAAACTTCTCATAAGTTAAATAGATCTTTTTCGCTGTTAAATTCTCGTGGAAATTGGCTGTTTATATTGATACAAGAAATTGAAACAATTATAACAAAAGATATGCAAGTGTTTTTATTTACAGAATGATTTCAGCAACAGAATGAAATAAGAACGGAATTCGAAAGCGCCTTAGCAATATGCTATAACAATTATTCGCCTCACACTCATTCAATAGTATTGAATAATTCCCCCGACTTCGTCTCGTGGATTACTCAACAATATTCATTTCTCCTTCGGCGAATAGATATACATGCAAACATTTCAGCTTGTCTATTTGTTTAGGATACTTCAATTTATCCCAGTTAAAATTGAAAGTTAAAACTGGGTGCAGAGAACGTTAGAATCAAATTGATTGGTTGGAGAGTCGCGAAAGTACAACAAAACAAAATGTCGGACAGGTTAGGAGAAAATAACAACGTTTTGATTCAGAACAAAAGCACCTAACAAATTGGAAACAGCTGGTTTAATGTCAGAACGTCTTGGGCTCCCAAAAACGACCATGATAAAAGTAATAAATCGTAAGAACTGGACGCCATGGAATAAATTCTCTGGGAGCCTACGCAGCCGTTCGTACAGGCTTGTAATTTAATCATTAAATTACGAGCGTGACAGCAGTCGTGTAAAGCGAGTTCTGGCTGAGAAAGGTTGCAAACTCTAAATTATTCCTACAGAAAGTTTAAGAGGTGATCTCTGTAAGAGCGGTCCAGGGCATTTCGCATCGGAAAAAAGTTTTCCCTCAAACTTAGCCCGATAAACTATCTTTGGTAACAAGTAAATAAAACCACATTAGTTTCTGGAAATACGTTAAAATGAAAATTTTTAGAGCTCTCAAAAGTCAAAGCTGCAAAAGGCCCTTTTTTGACCTCTTGCGACATCGAAAATTTCAAAAGTTGAATAGCCCGGTCCTCGTATCCCACCACGTGCAGCAAAAAATATTTTGTATTCTTAAAGTGTGTGATATATAAGGTGTATAGAAAGCATTTCAATTTTGATATTCGTTTATTCAGAGGCTCTTCATAATTTATTTAAAAACACTCGTTGGACTGTTGGACAGCTTTCTGAAATTGGTTAAAAGTACTCTTTCTTTCTTGGTTGATATTGCTCAAGTCCAGACCAGACCATTAAAAACTCCGCTTGATTTCTGCTAATAAGATGTTTGGCTGCAGAAAAATATAAAAACATCTTGCACTTATTGATTTTCTTCGCAGAGGTGACTTCAAACTTTTAGCGGTATTGCTAGCGTGACAGCCGATTATGCAAATTAGTTCATTGAGCAAACTCCGACCGTTTTATATGAGTAGCTCAATAAATCTTAGATTTTAACCATTTTAAGTAGAAAATATAGTAGAAATATAGTATACAGAGCTTTAAGACCACACCGATTAATGCCTTTAAACATTTTAAAAGGCCAAAATTTAACAAATTGTAATATCTCGTGATGAAAGACGTCAACAACAACGTATCGAATAACATAATTTGATTAGCGCTCGCAAACTCTTTTTAAAAATTTGGCTTCTGTTATTTCATATTTGAGTTCTGACAGCTTACACTATTCAAACCTGTATGAACATTTCAAAACCAAACTACAGGATTCTATTTAGTGTAACCGGCGATAACAGCACACACTGAAATACACCGTGACCACTGTCACCTAATTCAATTGTGTAATTATCCTGAATTGCTTCTTCTCCTTCGTAATATAGCAGCGATGGCTCGGATTTCTACCTGAAAGGGAAAAAATGATATATGGTCGTCACACCTGTCTGCATAACAGTCTCTGTTCATAAGTTTGAAGAGTCCTTGTGAAAAAGGATATGGCATTCGCATAATTAACGGGTGGACGTCATAACTAGATTGCATAACAACTGCACTCCGACATCATTTCCTCCATTTTTGCAAGAGGTGCTGCATTTGTATCTTGCATTTTGAATGCGAGCTCAAAATGTTTGCACGTGTCTCTTAGTATCTTAACTTTGAGACTAGGCAACTTTGCTTCTCTTGCCAACGAGCACACATCATAGATATCAAACATGATTGGATGTTTCAATCCTATCTCATGCATTACTGAGTTCCTCGCCTCTGTCAAACACTCTTCGTCTAAATCAGACGGGGATGCCTCTATCAAGTGGTCGTCTGCGTCGGTGGCATCGTCCGATTCTTGTTGTATTTTAGATCGCTGTTTAAGGCACAATATCGGGAAGAAATCCTGAATCTGTATGTTGGATAAACACTCTGTTCTATCGAACATTCTCTCTCCATCTATTGTGCAAGCAGTTCGCATATCCTTTGCTACGTTCTCTGGGTTTGGTTTCTGCCAGTGTCTCATCCGATATTAAATTTCTGTGTCAAGAACTGCCTGAAATTTTTCGAAAGCCGTTGACTTGCACCTCTCTCACGAAGAGCCCATCCCATGAGAAGTTTTGATGTACTTGTCAAGGGTTCTGTGGCTACTGCAACCAGTTCAGTCGAACTTTCACCCTCTAATGACAATGACTGAAAGTGATGAACCCACTACCTCTTCACTTTGTCATAAAGACTTTAAGTCATGCTCGTAGGCACAGGACTTATCACATATCAGGTTACTTCCAGGCTTTCCTCCTGTCTTACAACAACGCTACTCACATACCAATTTATTTCCCTCTTGAGAAAGCATTCTGCTTGCTTTTCCCAGAACTTCATCGCTATGAACTTCATTGTCCAGTCAACTATTATAAATGCTTTACCTCCCTTCAAAGTATCGACAATTCATAGCGATGAAGTTCTGGGAAAAGCAAGCAGAATGCTTTCTCAAGAGGGAAATCAATTGGCATGTGAGTAGCGTTGTTGTAAGACAGGAGGAAAGCCTGGAAGTAACCTGATACGTACACCCTCTTAACAGCTGTAAACAAGACTGGTTTTCAGTGCTGTCAGTCCTAGAAAATATCTTTGTCAGCATAAAGTTACGAAATTCAGGCATAAAAAAGGCCTTTCTAAGATCGGATGAAGCAGGTGGCTATCACAACGGTAAGCTGGTATCATCTTTACGAGGGCTCGGATATCAAGATTGCCACTTTCAGCAACTTACACAACTTTGAGTTTACACAAGAGGGCCTGTGCGTTTGAAGAGCGTTTAATGTTACGCCTGGAAAGTTTATTCGGTAAAATTAAAATTGCAATTTTTCCACAGAAAAAAGACGGATCTGGTGGAGGAGATTCCACTTTCCCCACTACTGCTCGACGAACTGCATCAGCAGGAGAAAGCAATGATGGCAACGACGGTAGTTCCTATCAATGCCCTGAACCTGGTTGCAATGAAGATTTTAAGACCCAGGCCGACCTTGACTTCCATATGAACTAGCTAGTTCATCATGTAAGTCCTATGCCTACGAGCATGACTTAAAGTCTCTATGACAAAGTGAAGAGGTAGTGGGTTCATCACTTTCAGTCATTGTCATTAGAGGGTGAAAGTTCGACTGAACTGGTTGCAGTAGCCACAGAACCCTTGACAAGTACATCAAAACTTCTCATGGGATGGGCTCTTCGTGAGAGAGGTGCAAGTCAACGGCTTTCGAAAAATTTCAGGCAGTTCTTGACACAGAAATTTAATATCGGATGAGACACTGGCAGAAACCAAACCCAGAGAACGTAGCAAAGGATATGCGAACTGCTTGCACAATAGATGGAGAGAGAATGTTCGATAGAACAGAGTGTTTATCCAACATACAGATTCAGGATTTCTTCCCGATATTGTGCCTTAAACAGCGATCTAAAATACAACAAGAATCGGACGATGCCACCGACGCAGACGACCACTTGATAGAGGCATCCCCGTCTGATTTAGACGAAGAGTGTTTGACAGAGGCGAGGAACTCAGTAATGCATGAGATAGGATTGAAACATCCAATCATGTTTGATATCTATGATGTGTGCTCGTTGGCAAGAGAAGCAAAGTTGCCTAGTCTCAAAGTCAAGATGCTAAGAGACACGTGCAAACATTTTGAGCTCGCATTCAAAATGCAAGATACAAATGCAGCACCTCTTGCAAAAATGGAGGAAATGATGTCGGAGTGCAGTTGTTATGCAATCTAGTTATGACGTCCACCCGTTAATTATGCGAATGCCATATCCTTTTTCACAAGGACTCTTCAAACTTATGAACAGAGACTGTTATGCAGACAGGTGTGACGACCATATATCATTTTTTCCCTTTCAGGTAGAAATCCGAGCCATCGCTGCTATATTACGAAGGGAGAAGCAATTCAGGATAATTACACAATTGAATTAGGTGACAGTGGTCACGGTGTATTTCAGTGTGTGCTGTTATCGCCGGTTACACTAAATAGAATCCTGTAGTTTGGTTTTGAAATGTTCATACAGGTTTGAATAGTGTAAGCTGTCAGAACTCAAATATGAAATAACAGAAGCCAAATTTTTAAAAAAGAGTTTGCGAGCGCTAATCAAATTATGTTATTCGATACGTTGTTTTTGACGTCTTTCATCACGAGATATTACAATTTGTTAAATTTTGGCCTTTTAAAATGTTTAAGGCATTAATCGGTGTGGTCTTAAAGCTCTGTATACTATATTTCTACTATATTTTCTACTTAAAATGGTTAAAATCTAAGATTTATTGAGCTACTCATATAAAACGGTCGGAGTTTGCTCAATGAACTAATTTGCATAATCGGCTGTCACGCTAGCAATACCGCTAAAAGTTTGAAGTCACCTCTGCGAAGAAAATCAATAAGTGCAAGATGTTTTTATATTTTTCTGCAGCCAAACATCTTATTAGCAGAAATCAAGCGGAGTTTTTAATGGTCTGGTCTGGACTTGAGCAATATCAACCAAGAAAGAAAGAGTACTTTTAACCAATTTCAGAAAGCTGTCCAACAGTCCAACGAGTGTTTTTAAATAAATTATGAAGAGCCTCTGAATAAACGAATATCAAAATTGAAATGCTTTCTATACACCTTATATATCACACACTTTAAGAATACAAAATATTTTTTGCTGCACGTGGTGGGATACGAGGACCGGGCTATTCAACTTTTGAAATTTTCGATGTCGCAAGAGGTCAAAAAAGGGCCTTTTGCAGCTTTGACTTTTGAGAGCTCTAAAAATTTTCATTTTAACGTATTTCCAGAAACTAATGTGGTTTTATTTACTTGTTACCAAAGATAGTTTATCGGGCTAAGTTTGAGGGAAAACTTTTTTCCGATGCGAAATGCCCTGGACCGCTCTTACAGAGATCACCTCTTAAAAGCTCGAAGCTAATTCTTGAGGGAAAATCCCGACGACTCCAGCAAAAACACGAAGGAAAGAAGCCGCACCAAAGAACAGTAACCATGGCTGAGAGAAAAACAGAATCAAATTTTTGCATGTATATTAAAAATCAGTAATCGCATGATTTTTCTCGTCAGAAATCAGTACTCGTAGAGTTTTCATACATTACGAATTGAACTCGTCGTAAGGGTCATGAAATTTGGTTAGCCTTAAAAAAAATTACTCGTGCTGATTTTCCCAAATTGCACTCGAAACCCTGTGAATAGTTGCCATCATCCATAAGAGGTTCATTAATGCCGCTGACAAAGAACGAGTTCAGTTATATAGTTATTTTGTTTTTCTCTTTAAGATAACAGCACACTCTCACCACTTCATTGAAAATTTTTAGGAGACAACTATACAAACCAGTGAGAACCGTTTTGAAACGGAAGAAGAATCCCCTCTTATTGACAATGACGTCTGAATGGAATGTTACCAAGGCGAAGTTTCCATAAACTACAACTGTCTGTCCAGTCCTCCGTCCACAGTATTTTCCAAAGGTATAGTTCTGATCATTACCAATCTTCACAAAGTCATAACTATATTGAAGAGAACATTAATTGGATATTTTTTGCACAGAAAAACGTATCATCCTTAGTCGAGTCTACTCGACTATAATTACTCTTCAAAAAGATAGAATGAAAAAATATAGTCCAATTGTAAAGATGCACTGATGGTTGAAACGACGTTAAAAATCGTTACGCTAATTTGAAACCACAAGACACAGTTAAGGATGAAGCTACCAAATTTATTTATCGTCTCTAATAAAGAGAAAAGGAACAGAAATTACGGACGATTTTTTTTGTCTACGCTAGAATACGTAAGTTGCATATTTTTCCTTGCAATTTTTGAACGAGTGCTGTAAAGTTTGCTTCAGCTACATTATCTGCCTCAGTTTGATTCTTTCATTACGCTCATTTTGCAAATAAGAATAGCATTCAAAACATAATAGGGGACACAGAACTCTTAGACCGGCTGCCTACAATGAAAAATGTTTAATTTGTGGCAGAGAGGACTATCTTGCCTGCATGATGGGTGAAACTCCACGTCAAAGTCAACGAAATATATTCCCATTGGCCCTCCGGGTGGAATAGGAACAGAGTATTCACAATCCATATCTGCTGGATAGGTAAATGGATATCCCCGACTTTTCAATGTGCTGTTCACCAAAACGCCACATTCTGGAGAAATAGTAGTAGCAGTACATCATTATTATAATGTATATTACTATTGTTATAATCATTATTATTGTTATTATTATTTACTATTATTGTCATTAATATTATTATCACTATTACCGCATCTTCTTTTTTTGGTAAAATCGATTAAAGGAAAATAATAATGATGATGATCATGATGGTGATGATGATGACATTGATATCGTGCTAATTACGTAAACAATGTTGAAGTGTTCAGGAAAAATCACATTGAATAAAAAACCATAATAGATTTGATCGATTACTATGTCAATTTGTGCTTCTTATGTACCGGTTTGGCGTTACGAGTTGCAAAGCAACATGTTACACCAAGGAAAATTTAAGTTAGTGTTCCTTTTCCCATAAAGGAAACAACTCATCATATTAGAGCAATGATCCCCTCTGATTTGGCCAAGAGAACCCTTCGTTAAAGTAGCAACAACAACTTCATTTCCCACCTTGTGTAGCTAATGCACCGGAATTTCCATTCAATGCTTTTAAACAAATTACCAAAAACAGTGCCATGAGGAGCGCAGGTTCCATTACAACCATAGTTTCTGAGAACGGATAAAACAAAGTAAAAGAGAAATTCATTTAATGATAAATCGATTTTATCACCTATCGTATAGAATATCAATATTTGAATTAATTTTAAAGCAATTATCCTAAATTCGTGCGCCGATTTTTTACCTCCATCGTTCGTATAGTTTTTTAATGCGAGTATGAGCTCTTTAATCATAATGTAGTGAAAACCTTTGCAATGTTTCAAAAGTTTACTATGCACTCTAATGTCTTTTTAGAAGGGCGTCATCTTGCTTTCTAATTGATAATTCGTGAAGGTCAGTTTCAATTTAGCAACGAAAAATAATATATCTTATATCCCTTCATTAGCTAGGTACCTAACTATTCATTTATTTTTCTTAACAAGAGAAAAAAAAGCGCGGGACTCCAGAATACTAGATTTACTATGGTGTCCAAATATTCCTCAGTATACAAGCATAGTTGGTGTATTTCCATGGAGCTGTACACTAATGCAGCCCAGCTAACATTTGGAGATAGAAATATAATTACATTAGCAATTTCGTTCTTTGCTCTGTATTACATCTGTCTTATCAAAACTAATATCTCATAAATGCATTCTGATTTGCTACTTCACGACGTTTTATTTTGCGATTATTCAGTACGTGAGGCAGAAGTGACAATTGAAATATCTTAAAAATATAATGAGTTGTTCATTTTTCCTCGATTTGGATGGAGTTCCTTTCCGCCACATTTTAATGCAAAATACGTCACTTCTTCATTCTATGCTTTAAAGGATTCTGTTCGTCACCAGTCTTCCACTTGCATGTTTGACGATTCTTCCACATTCAGGACACGGTGCACGTTCAGGCAAGGGCCGTGAGTATTACTACTGGCTACCCCACTTGTTCTCCCCTTATACCATGCTATAATACTGGTATTACGTTGTTCCCAACGTGGTTATCACTTCTCAGATGCGGAAATCCTTTTATCAAAGCACACGTGACCCTTTGCGAGGGCAGGTTTAATTGTGGACCGTCCAAGCCTCTCTTACGAATGTCTGAGTTGACGAATGATTGCAATGTTACATAAAGCTGTTGCGCAGACGCCACATGGCAAATAACGTACACTTTAAGGTAGCTTCCTGTCAAAAACGTTGCTTCCTCCAAGAATTCGTACTTATCTGAAGATATGTTCCACTTCAAAAATGATTCCCCTTCGAAAACTTCTAATCCTCGAGTATTCTCAGCAACTTTCGATCAAATATTTCATAGCGCATGGAAAAACTCGAGGTGTTTTACAGCGAGTTTTATAGTGCATTATATATACATTTTACTGTTTGGGCTGACTGTGTTGGAGAAAGCGAAATCGCAGGTTTAGCAAATTTGATTACGCTATTATATTACTATATGTTTCATTGGATCAAAGAAACCAATCTTCGTCTTGAACCATTTCACAAAAAGAAAGTTTTATAATTGCCATTTTTTGGTTGCTAAACATCTATTTGACAGGAAGGACACAAGAAAACATATTCTTACCAATAAAGTGACGTCTTGTAACAGTTTCTTCTTACTCTCTGCCTTTCGCGCCCGAGCCACCTGTTTGGAAAATAGGGATAGGAAAACTGTTTAAGCCAAATTTTCTGAAACAAAAAAAGGGAATTCATGAGAACTACCCATATCTGATGAAAAAGAGAAAAATTTCAGGCGAAATGCTTTCGACGAACGTGCAACGCTAAATCCATTTTACGCTTCCATTTCTTAAATTCTGAAAAATAACTTTTAACAAAGTTACATATCTCCCGCGATTTGTTTCGTTCGGTTTGTTTATCAGTCAACTGACAGTTGTTCCTCTGTTACTAAATAAGAATGATATTCGGTTTTTACAAGAGCTTTAACGATTGAGTTCTCTTAGATTTTCTTACCTCCGTTACCTGTTGGACGCCTCTTCGCTCTGCAGTTCAAATTAACTTGCCTAGACTTTCAATCACTCTTCTTAATGGAAAAACTAATGAGATTTTCCCAGAGTTGTTCTCTTACTGCAAAGAGAACCCCCAACTGTGTGTAAAAGATTGATGTATTACCGGGAGTAATAATTCCAAATGCTCGACCTTTTTTGAAATGACCCCTAAAAAACTTCTAAATATGGCACTTTGTTAACTTGTTGCGAAAATGATGTTTGGAGGGATCCCACCAAACTCTACAGCCAAAGAAAGTAAAAAATTTTCATACTGAAGTTCTAATGGAGAAAAATATCAAACAGCTGAGTAAACCTTTTTCTATTATCTAAACTTTAATGTGACAGTTTCAAATATGATTCTTTTTTTGTTTGTTAAAAATTATCTTGAAACACTGAAACCTCAGGCCTTGTATCAACCCCTTCAAATTAACCAAGATTGTGTTTTTTTTTTTTTTTCATAATTTGCACAGATATAAATGACAAACAGGTGTCAACAGCTCTTAAATGAAACAATTTAAAAATGTTTTAAAATTTTAGGATTCAATCCGGGTAAAAAAATAACCTTTTCAGCGGAATTTGAAGTTTTTAATGGCTTTAATAATCTGGAGCAAAACAGGTGTCTCACAATAAATACAATAAAAATTAAAGTTTAGGATTCAGGCGAAATTGCTTGATGAGAAAGTCACCGGTTTTATTTAGAAATTCCTGAAGAAATATCTCATTTGAAGAGCTCCGTCACTGAGATAGAAAAGTTTTAGAGGACGCAAATGAAACCGACCATAATTATGCTTCACAGTTGACAGAACATTTTCGTCTTAAGATGAAGCTTTTAATAGCTGTTATTTTACTTTAGACTTTTAATGAAAAATTGATTGGTCGTGAGCATTCGTTCAACTATTTACAATAGCGTGTGAAGTTGACATAATAACCCATTTTGCATTAGTTATGTTTGAGTTTGCAAAAACTTGTCTTCATTTTCGCAAAAAAAGTGTCTTTATTTTCAGATTGTTCAAAAAGTTTATTATAAAACAATTACTGAATTCGGTTTTCGCATTTTATCATGAATTATCAAACATCGTGACTGTTATTTGCCTCAACCTTCTGCTTCGGTTTTGATAGTTCATGCTTAACCTCATCCGATAATCGCTTTTTGGTGGCTGAAGCAAAAAAAAAAAAACATCCGTGTCTTTCGCGCAGTGAAAAGACACCCGCAAAAAGCAACAAAATGGGATAAGAATTTCTCAAAGGATTTGAGAACAACGATCGAAAATAACATTTTACAATAAAAGTCGTTTTGTAACGTTTTGAAACGTTTTGTGACAAGTTGACGTCTCACGAGCTAATCCGACACGAGCGAGCGTTATGCAAGAGCAGCCACAGATCGCCTCTCTTTTTGCTTCGCTTTTCCCGCCTATTAAGAAGTGCATAAAAAATAAAGCAGTTGGATAATAAATAACTTAATACGCGTTTTGGTGTGTAGTATCGCAGAGTATTTTAACTCGTTGATTATATTTTGACTCACCCTGCGGGCTCGACAAAACTCGGCACAACTCGCATAAATACTCAGCGATACTACACACAAAACGTCTAATAAGATATATATATATATATATATATATATATATATATATATATATATATATGTGTGTGTGTATGTATGTATATATATATATATATATATATATATGTGTGTGTGTGTGTGTGTGTGTGTGTGTATATATATATATATATATATAAATATTATGAGAGGAAAAAACGACGCAACTACATAGGGGTTTAAACCCCTGAAGAGTGAATCGACTTCACTCTTCGAAACAACCTTGTCGGAATATGTAGTTGCGTCGTTTTTTCCTCTCATAATATTTATTCTGCTCTACTTCAACGTATTGAGCACTGTTCCACGCGAAAATCGACCTGCAGACTTCCTATATATATATATATATAGGAGCTAGCTAGAATAGCCTAGATCCGACAGACACGGTCAATGAATTCGTCAGCGAAGTCAAAGGAAGAAATTCTGTAGACGGTCGTTGTCGAACCAAATATAAGCAAGTTGGAGTAGTTTCTTTTTGCATGCGTCTTTACTAAAAAAACTAATCTTCTCAGGCTTGCCGAATATGAGATTGTTACATCCAACTCAGTGCTACGTATGCCTCGTTGGTGTAGAATTACTGAGTTAAGGAAACCAAAACTATGCGTAATGTATGATGAGCTGAAATAAAGGCTAGGATGGCAGAAAATTGTTATTTTTTCCCTATTTTTAATATTTTCCAAGCATATAGGGTTAGTGATCGTAGCAGGTGCACTGCAATTAAAGAAATTACAGAGATGAAGCCTGAAATTAATTCAGGCTTCAACGGGATTCTAACCCGTGCCATCCAGATGCCAGCTAGGCGTTACTACCAAACTGAGCAGGTAAAGTTAAGAGGGTTCGTCGTTCTCGTGACTGTGGTTCTTTTTCTTGTTTGAAAGATGTGATTGATTGAAAAATACCACATTAAAATGATTAAAAATTTAATTGTTTTGCAATTTAAAGATGGTTTTTCAATTGAAAAAGGTTCACGTTGCCAAAACACAGCAAGTTTCCACCGATATATCTCCTTTATGTTACTTGTGGTGTTACATGATCGTGACAGCCTTACGCCAGTCAAGTGAATTTTGATTGACATAGAAGTGAAATCGACATATCTACTCATAATAGTCTTATTTGGTTTATTAAGCTTGGTAGGTTGAGATGAAGTATAATGCCATTACAACATTTCAAGGGAAATTTCGTTTGATTCGTCAAAGGTAAACTTACAAGGGGATTAAGTAAATCACACCGAGACGGGTTGCATTTCCGAGAAGATAAATGACAGAAAATAAAGGAAGGAAAGGGCCCTTTTGTGGTTTGAACCTTTAGCATTCAGAAAAAGATCCAAATTTGCCCAAGAACGACAGAAAGAAACGACCGCTCAAAAGACGAACTTTTCTTGAAAGTGCGTAAATTTTCGTGAGAAGTCCACCATCAAACGACTTTATTAACTGTCTCCAGTTTTCCTCTCGCCTGCTCTTTTCCTCCAGGTGTATCAGTCTAAAGAATATGCTGAGAGCGAGGCAAGGCGAGGCGAGGCAAGGGGGGGAGGGAGGGGTGATGATAGGAAGAAAGACGCAAAGATGACGTCACAATCAATAACATTTTGTTTTTCTAATATAAAACAAATAGATTCTAGGTTTCCATTTTTCTGTACAGTAAAAGAGGTTCACAGAAGACGTCAAAATTTGGTTAAAACATCAGCTACATTTGTCATCTATTGCAGACTCACGGCAACAGGAATCCACTGTTAAATTGAAAATTGCACATACTTAAAGGTAGACATCATTCCCGTATATGTTCAATAGTCTCTACTTGGGCTAAATTTATGCTACAATATTTTTTACAGAGACATTATGTATTACATAACAGGTACACAGTTTTCCATGAACGAAGCATGGGGAAAACTTAGAGCCGCTTGGAGGAAAATAAAATGCATATTGTCGAACCAAATGGAGACAATTGCATTTATCATCCTTCAAAAATTGGCGTGCGGAAAAAATAAAATTAAGTAGTTACAGTCTAACAGTAAACATCTGTGGCTTCGAGAAACAAATGATATTTATTACACCAACTTTGTTGGAAGTGCAGCAGTAAACAATTCTCAAAACGAAGTCCACTAAATTTCCAGATAGTAAAGCCCCAATAAATCAGTTTTTTTTTCCTTTACAATTATTTAGAAACCTGAGTCAAATCTTTTGAAAGACACAGGAAATTAACACACAACATAAAACCAATGCTATTTTTTCCACGGCCAAAGAGCAGCCACAGACGCGGCCGCTGAACTGACCAGGCTTGCGGCTGTCGCGGGCTCGTCCGTCCTCTGGTTATCTTCCGATGACTTGGACTGCAACAAAGCCCCTTGGTGAGTGGATGAGTCTGTCGTGTCAACCAAGTTGGAGGGCAGGTTTTCCCACTCGGTATCCGATTCACTGTTCGCGTCTTCCGATGCCGAATCGTTTTGATCACTGGAATCAGCGTCGTCGTTTTCGCTGCTAATCGTTATCAACTCGGGATGACACTCAAATGGGCCTCCCCTATGACATGAATGGCACCCCTGTCATTAATATTTTGACTAAAACCCAACCGGAGCAAATTTCTCGGCTTATGTCTTGGTCTGTTTCCGCAGTTTCCCTTTTTTCTTTTGTTGGGGGGTGGGGGGTGGGGTTAGAGGGGAGTTAGAGTTTCATCTCTCGGTAAGTAACATAATTTTGAAACTTCAAACTGTATAGATAACCAAATGGTTTTAATTTCAATTTGTAATAAATGAGCTGGAGAAATCACAAGATTTACTTTGAAACCCATAATTTTGCACTCAGTCCTTTCAACTTTTTGCAATCAACTTCGGCTGTCAACACTGTCTTAGATTAGCTGTCCTGCTCTCAGCTTGCGAACAGTTTTTGAAGATAATAGAAACTTACCGTCCAAGGTGGAGCGAGTTCAAGCAAGTATACAGATTGTGTAAAGTTCTCCTCGGATGAAGAAGGGAAGGTTCCACGTGCTAAAATAAAAAGCAAAACAAAAGTGAAAAAAGAAAATAAGCACTCCATACATTTGACATGTGCGAGTTACAAACTGACATTTTTATATTCGTCCGCCATAATCTCAGCGACATTTAAATGTTGATGCATATCCATGATTCTAATCACAAAAAGATAATATTATTTCAAAAAAATAAAAAAAAAGAAAAGAAAAACGAGTAAAAAAAATGCTTCCTACTCAGATAAAACGACAAAAGTTTTTTAACTTTTAATAACTGATAAAAAATACAACTGTGACTCTGTAAAAATCGCATCAGCGTTTAAAAATGGGAAATGCAATTCGTGTAAGCCACATCCAATGGTGACTTTCACCCAATCATTTTTTGTTCGGGAAAAATCATTAATTCTTCTGAATAGTTCTGTTCACTGAACTAACGTTTGGCTATGCACTTACCTGCGTGAAACACAAGTGAAGCACGTTTGCGTTCAATCGATCTACGGCGCTTTTAAAGTCCTTTTTACTTAATTCACGATGACAAAATTCACTACAAGATAAACCAACAAATGAATTTATAAATTGTTCAATGTTGTTTCATAAAAATTGAATAAAGGATTTTTGAGGTACAGAGAATGTGTTCGCAATACCTGTAGCTTATTCTTTTTGGTAGATTCACGTCCAAATAGAACGCCATGAGCTCCAGCATTTGACAAGCATGTGTAAGCGCGGCGGTCATCTTAAAAGCTGGTGTTTTTACAGAGATTTCTTCATCGGATGCTGAAATAAAAATCAACGACGGTGAGGTTCTTCTCCAATCCAATGGCCTGCTCCTAAATTCCGTTTCTTTGTCAAGCAGCAAATGGGAGTACTGTCAATCAGAGAGTACGAGGAACAGGCACATAACAGGTTACCCACATATACGATGTATATCCAGGGACCCCTTCCGATCCCGAGCACCACACTACAAGTTAGTTGTACCATTAAGCTTGCGAGCAAACCCTCTTTATAAGCGCTGCCGCAAAAGTAAAGTTACGTAGCAGGAAAATTTGATGCCCTAAGCAGGGGAGGGTTCTGTCAAGGGTCTAGTACATGTAGGGCCAGACTCCGCACAGGGCTAATAACGAGGGCAGAGAGGAATTGTGAGGTGAGTATTATGTGTACTGCACTGAGCAAGGATATAATCGAACGAGGCACACTCGTACCTTTTTCTTTCTTAATCGAACTTAATCTAAACCGAAACGTTTAGTCGCAAAACCCAAAGTTATATTTCGTTTACAAAATCGAATATAACTCTACTTAGACGGACAAACAAGCACATTCCACATGTTCTGCTTCAAAATTACGTCTATTTTCTTTATAGCCCGATTATCCATCCATTCAGAGAACAATTCTTGTTGAATAGATGATAGTAACGAGAGCTAATTCAGTGCAGCGTATCTTGTGCTTTAGCTTTTCGTCGCCTGGTTTCCTTAAGGTCCTTATTAACTGAAGTAGGTTATCTTTTTTGCGCCGGACTGGATTTAAACAAACAAGCATAATTGACAAAGGACTTACCGAGTTCTCTGGATCCACTCCTGTGTGCCTTGACTAGAATAAGACAGAAAAAAATTAAAATTGCTTCCAACCGGGCTGATGGATAGCAAGGAGGGAGAAGTAATAGGATAACAAAGCTATTTTACTCTGATCTGTGCGCTCCGCGCTCTTAGTTTTCTGCGTGCGTTCGCCTAATTCGCCGTTTGCTGCTATCAAAGAAGACGCAAGGTATTATTCAGATGGATACTAGTTTGTTCTCTTTGAAATATTTGGTGCAGTAATAAGACCCATGTCGTATTATTCTCGGCCATGTTTTTCCAACGAAAAAACTAGCAGAAAATATGGTGAAATCCGAAAAAAAAAGATTGGATACGCTAGCCAGACCACCCAGAGGGAAGATTAAAACAGAAAGAAACGAGGGTGGTTAGGGATGAGTATGATAAATAAGGATTGTAATTTGCGATCCTCGGGAAATTCAGGCAATATTTCCAGAGACACATTGGCCATGATTAACAAGGTCAAACAGTTGCGCATGTGCGAACGTTGTAATGACTAGGTGGCGTGATTGCAGGTTTTCAGAACCGAGTTGTATCTCATGAGTTATATGCAACCACACAAGCCAGTAAGTCACGGTGTTTTAAAAGCGTACAACTATTTTGGTTAAGCTCAAAACAGAATAGGAAATCAACGGAAAAGCCATACTTGAATAACCTTTGTGTTCGATGAGTCTTTAGTGTTCCTTTTTCCATTTTCTTTCCTTTTACAGATTTGTATGAAAGTTTTAATTTTCTTTCGCTTATTTTGCGGAACAGCGTTTTTTTGTTAGGTTTTCCTTTGAAATCTTGCGCGGGAAATTGGCGCAAGGGCGACCACAACCGACCCCCTCGCGCATACTCGACATTTGACCGCTGTATCGCACATACCCCATTCGTGATACGATGAGTAGTCTCCGTTCCCTGGTAAATATGCACCATTTATTGAGTACACCATCCGCACATCTTCCTCTTCGGACACCCAACGTCCTGCAATATACGATGTACGGGTGGCCTCGGCCAGCTCCGACTCGCGGTTCCCGTCATTATTTTCACTCTCGATGTCACAATGGATATCTGAAGGAGAAAGATTTGTTAATTTGCTGCACTGTAGATCCATCTTTCACAGATGGCTTTGCAAAGATCATAGGTAAATGAAATAGGTGAGACATAATAAGAGACGTTACAGAAAATAAGCCTGAAAAATTCAAGCTTCGACGGTTGGGAGACATGGGTTTAAATCCTATCGAAGTCAATTAATAGCTACGAGCTCCGGGTTCGAATCCAGTCAAAGCGCAATTTCTTTCCTTGTCGCTATAAATTTGCAAGGCTCATTTCATTCCTTGTAAAAGCAAAATTAGCTACGTATAACTATGAGAAGACAGGTTTTGAAAATAGATGTGAAACATGACAGGCTTTGGTCTACAATAATGTCAAAATTTTTAGGAACCTCTCAGGAAACCACCACCACTGAAGATTTCCAGTAAATAACCAAAGATCCAGAACTTACTTACTCATAGCAACAAATGGTGTTATTAAATGATAAGTGGTAATCTAGTTTAATATAATAAAATCTACTAGACAGACTAGAGGCAATCCTTAGTACATGCTAACGTTACTATGCATAGTCTCCATACAATCTTTTTCACATTTCCTATGGCAAATTGACGAGGAGAATCTGTTATAGAGTCATGTACTTCTGTATTTGATGATCACTTCCATTATTCTGATGCAGGGAGAAACTAGATGCAAGTCACTTTAAGCTGCTAATCTAAAACATGACTTAAAGTCTTACAATTTAAAAAAGGATTTCAACTGATAGATTCCATATTGCATGCATCTGTTCAGTAATAGATCATAGATAATGTCAAAATGTGGCATTAGAACGAAAAAATAAGGCTCCCAAAGTGAAGCCACATGCGTCAATGATGTCCTTATCACATTTTCACACCTTTTGAAATCTGCTACTGAACAAATGCATGCCAAAATTAAATCTATTTGTCTTTTATGACAAAAAGCAAAATGTTGTTAATGGTGCCACATCATCTATGTGTCTATCCTCCAATATATCATTAGTAAGGAGCTTATCAAAATACATCAGAAATTCAGCCTATAATATAATACCCACATATAGGATACATTGCAAATCACCACATCATAAACAAATATTTTTTATCTGATTACAGTCATATACCTTCTGCAGTATCTCTGGGGGAAGGCACATCCACTACTTGCAAAACAGGATTAACCTGTATGGCAAACAAGTATTTTTGTATTTGTGATAAACTGACTCTGCGGGCTTCACATAACTTCTCTGTGGTACACTCCAGTTCTTGTTTCCTTTTTCCTAGACCAGTCTATTAGGAGTTCAAACATCAAGAACGATTAATCTTGTGGGGCATATCTGATCCTAGTAACTTGAAAAGTATGTTTGGGTATCAGCTAAAACCAAGGATGAAAGAGCATGATTTCTCTCTCTGAAGTCATTAAAATATGAAGATGGCATGCCAAAGGTTTCTTGCTAGAAGCTGAGTTAAAAGCCTCTTCAGGGATTTTGATCATTTTGTTTGGCCAAATTATACAACCCTCCCTCTTAAAAATGCAGGTTTTCTTCCAAATGTTAAAATGGAAAATATACCTTCTCTAAAGCAAAAATTCCCTACTATTTGCCACCAGGACAAAGTTGCAAAACCATGTTCCACAAACACATTCCAAAAATCACCTGAAACTGTAGTAATTGCTTTGCCTTGGTTTGTAGCTGTTCTGAGTGTTCTGTTTGCCTCAATTGTGTTTTGTTATTAGACTCTTTGAGCACCCTAAGAGTTTGGCTTGCTGTGGATGAGAAGCCAAAAATGTGTTAACTTATGCAATTTTCTTTGAAATAGATAAATTGCAACTGAGAACATTATTGAAACCACACTGTAGGAAAAGGTGTTTTGCTATTGTGGTCTCAGAAAAAGGGAAATTTCAATGCTAAAATATCATATTTAGCATAACAAACCCTTTTCAGTGGTTACATCTGTTCAGTAATTCAATCAACTTAATTATAATTAAGTTGAATGAAAACATTGAAAATTGGGATGATAAATGGAAAAAATAAGCGGATTACTGTGGTTTAAACTTCTTCAATCTATCTAGAACCTTTCCTTTTTTTTTTTCCTCCTTTTTCCTTAAAGTCTTGAATGTCCCCAGATATGATCAAATACTCTTAAAAAAATTATAGCACTTAGGATAAAATCCCACATTCTTGAATAAAAAAATGTCAACCCTGAAAATCCTTAATTTTTAATTCTCCCCTCTAGCTGCTTCAAATTTCCAAGTAAAATAGTAAGAAGAATTTGGAGATATATCAAGATAACAACTTCTACATGATAAGTCTGAGTATTCTCATTACCTGGTTGCTAGATAATTTATAGATATCAGAAGGAGAAGTTACATGTTAATAATTTGTGGGAATTAAAGGATTAAAAGGTATTACTGATACATATTACATTAGAAAACTGACTCACCTGACTCTATATCAAGAGTTGCTTCCTTGATCACCAACTTTAAAAGTAGAACTCTCTGTCTGCAGCTGATAAGTTCACAATTCTGCAATTATAATCATTTGACTCTTTATATCAAATACCAAGGTACAGTTTGATTTGTCCAGAACAGTAAACATTTACAGCGAGTACATGTCAGATAAATTACTTGAAACATTCTATGACTACATTAACATTTACTAGATGATTACTGATTGGAGCCAGTTTATTTTTTTCAGATTATTGACCTCCTTTTTCCTTTGGAACATCATAAACTCATACAGTATCAATGGGATCACATTCATTTAGTAATTACAGTAAAACTGACAAATTATTTTATTTCAGCCCTTCAAACTTTATTGCTGAAACAGAAACTTACCAATGAGAGAGAGTTTTAAAGGTTCTTTATAAAAAGTACAGAAGTAAAAGAACAGTGTGAATTAACAAGAGAAAGTTCACCACATCTGAATAATCAAAATTGAGTCAGTGATTGAGTGAATTTTCCTTCCTTTCCAAAACCTCATAGTATGACTGAAATCACACCATGAGGCATAAAATGGCTCTGAGGCCAAGAGTTGTGAGAATTTTGCATAATAGCCAGAGAATCATTCAGCCCCTAATACTTTTGGAATGCCTGGAAGTTCTCTTTTACTGTCCCATCAACAGTTCCCCTCCAACTGGCTTAACCCTTTAACTCACATGAGTGACCAAGATAGAATTTCTCCTTACAATATCAATACAAGACCAAGCAGACAAGTGATGAGAATAGAGAAAAATCTTAATTAGGGGATTATAAGTTGATCCAATACCAAATTCTCCAAACTAACATCAGAAGAACTATATGGCAGATATTAAGGAGAATATTAATGAGATCTTGGGAGTTAAAGGGTCTAAGCTTTTCCACATTTTTTGCCCTTGCCCTGTCCCACACCTCAGCAACCTTCTCTCCACCAAAGTAAAATTTTTCAGTGTAATCTAATGTTCAAATACCTTAATAACTCCTTTAAAACCCTTTACATCTTAAAATCATTCTCCATACTGTTCTTTATACATTTCCCAAGGTGCTGACAAGGAAAATTTGCTTACCAATCAAAAGCTTCTTTTATCAGTGATCATTTCCTTTATTCTCATGACCTTAACATGTGATTCAGGGGTGATACTGCAGGTGGAAATTTGATGCTACACTGTAGTCACTCTCAGGGTTTAAAGGGTTAATTACATTTTCAGGTTAAAATTATTTAAACTAGATTGATTCAAATTTTCTTTTGCTTATGGACTACAGACAAAAGCAAAGAAGGAAAATGAATCAAGAAAGTTTGAAACTCAGTTTGAACTACTACAAGTATATTTGTGCTCTGGTGCGGATTAATTTAATAGATACACACAGTATAATTACGTACCAATTTGTCCGACTTTTCTTGTTTTCTAATTACATCTAACGCTCTGAAAGAACAGTGAAATCATAACGTGACCCTGACGCAACGGCAAATTTAAAAGCTTTCGTGAAATCATAATATATTTCTTTTAGTTTTTACAAGAAACGAATTTACCCTACCGTTTCTCGTATTCACTTTTCAGCCTCTTTAAAATCTCGAATTTCCTAAATTTCTCTGCATATCTGTGGGTGTAAAAAATTGAAATATTGATTCGTGGAAATAACTGGTAACAAGGAAGTTCTCCTCCTTGATTTGTTTTGAAATTTCACACCAGATTGTCTGAAAATGCGTAAATTCCGGTTCAGTTATGAAATAATTAAACGACGATTACCTTTCGGGGCATCTTTCATTAGAATGAAGAAAGTCTCCACTTAGAACGCACGAATAACAAGTAAAACTCTTTCTTTTGATACTACATAGCGGACAGGTCTGAAGTGACGGAGTAATCGTGAGGTTTGAGTCGGTTTTTTCCTCAAAGTATTCCGCCATGGTCATCCACTACATCTTTGTTTTGCTGAGTTAGCTGAGATGAATTTTCGTGTAGACGTCAAACCGCTGACATATTGTGTACTCATATAATTGGGTATACAGGTCAGCGGAATTGCATTAAAGGAGAAACAAAGCGAGCGGAGGAAACAAAGACGCCATGTTCCAGAGGATTCGAGAATGGTTGTCACTGAAAAATTACCAATATCAAGTAACTACTGGCATCTACATGCTGGAGCCTTGGGAGAGGACGATTTTTAGTATCCTTTGCTACGTGAATTTCTTCATACCGGTTTGAGTAACTCCTGTGTCTTGAATCACCTACGCGTCAAATATTTACATCTCACACACCATTGCAGCTAGAACGTGTTGCTACATGTGCAGCAATGCATATAGTTGGCGAAAATTTAGATTTTTTGGACAACTTTTGGCGCATTTTTCAAGCACGATCCCTAGAAGTCAGTTTTCTATCGTGATTCGGCCGTGATCATGTAACCTAGGCAATTTTGGTGGCATTTTTTTTAAAGTGAGGCATACCCACATACTCTAAGCTGTACTGGAACAATGAAAGTAGGGCGAAAGAAACGGGGCCACCCGTTCATATCTCATCTTGTGTCTGATTTCCGTGTTCTATTATTCCCTAGTGCTCCTTTTGATGAGATTTCCATAGTCGTAAAGGCAATCTATTTTTTTCATTGTTTCCTCTACCCAAGAACTGTATGAAATATGAAGTGTGGGGTTTCGAAGAAATCTTACCCCTTTGTCCAGTAGGTGCTCCAATATACTGAAAACAATCACAGTCTTTTCCTTCTGGTGTCTCGTGGCAGGTAGATGTAAATAAATCTATATATATATATATTTTTTTTTTTAGTAAATATTATGAGAGGAAAAAAGGACGCAACTACATTTCCCGACAAGCCTGTTTCGTGAATCGCTTCACTCTTCAGGGGTTTAAAGATTAAACGTATGTATATGTATGTATACATGTATATGTATGTATACATCTATATAAATGCAAAAATTTCAAGAGGGCAAATTGGGCAAGAGAGATTGTCAGTTCAAGGAACTGTCAACTTCTGAAAACTTAAAATTGCAATTTTAACAATTCCATTTGTTTCTTCAGGAAAGAAATTCACATTTGCTTAAAAATGGCATTTCCAAGCTTTTTGCAGAGATTTTTGTAACTCTTTTAAATTGTTGAAGAGTGTCTGAAAATGGGCAAAATGTCATAATTGTTTGAATACTATTAACCCTTTGACCCCTAAGAGTGGTTGGCAGCTCATTTCTCCTTACAGAATCACTGAAGGTCACGAGTATGATAAAATTGCTCACTAATCAAAGGAGTTTGTGACTGATATCCAAATACTCCTTGTCAGTACTATGGGAAATGTATAGAGAACAGTATGGAGAAAATGCTCTCTTGTGATGGGGTGTAAAAGCTTAAAGTGGGGGTGATATCTGTCTCAGGGGTTAATTTCTTTGGTAAAGAAAACTGTTTGTTAAACATTTTTATGGTGGCAATTTATGTCTTGACTCTCAGCTACTATGAAGAGAAAATTCACAGTATTGTAGAGATATGAATTTTATTTTAAAGCTAAAAAACTGCATTTAAAATAAGTGGTTTACTGGCTCAATTAATAAATTTCCTAAAGCTCAAATTTGATAACAGTAATTCAAAGTAGTCTTTCTCACTCCTTCACACTAGCAGCCTCTATGTACTTCAGTCAGTCCATTACAGGAGTTCTTCAGTACACTCTAACATGTAGATCTATTTATAATTATACTGCTAACCCAAAGTGCTGATTTGTAATACACCTGGCCTGGGTTGTTCAAAGCTGGGTTAAGATAACCCAGGGTTAGTGTGGAATTTGATTTCAGGTCTGAAAGCTTTGAAAGGAAATTCAGTTCAAATCTTTTTGCGTGCAATTTGATCATTGGATGTTCTAAAAAGACTAGGGAAAACTTTTCCCTGAGAGGCCTTTGAACAAAGAAATAAAGAAACCTGGATTTATATTTAACCCTGGGTTTGCGCTAAACACCCTTTGAACAACTGGGCCTTGCTCTCAGTTCCACAGATGTGTGTGGTAGTGAGAGTTTGCAATCCTATCATTCCTAACCTTGCAAGCAATGTTAGATTATTCCTTAACGTAAATAACACAGATGCAACACTGGTGACAATCCTAGGGATGTCTGTATATTCTACATATGCTTATTTACCAGCTTATATTTACAATGTCCTTGCATACTTTGGTTATGTTGAAGATTCCTAATCTCTTGGCTCTTGGCTTCACCATGATAGCAGCAAGACTGTTCAAAGTATTATAAAAGTTTATGCTCAAGAAGAGACTAAGATTCATTGCCAGTTTTACATCAAGATGAATACAACAATATACTATGCAATCGTGAAAGAAACTTAAAGAGTCAATGCAAAAAGAGGATGTATCAAAGAATCAATTGCAGATGATTGTTTCAAACATGGAGTTAAAAAATCTTAAATGTAATGTGCATGGAACAATTTACCAATCCACTGCAACTGTAAAGGCCAAAATATGTTTTGTTGTTATAATTTAAAATCAGATTTGTTGGGTAAATTTAGAAAGAAACTGTGGTGCTGCATCAGTGGGAGAGTATGATAGGGTAATTTGGTGTTATCAACTGGGTTGATAATGTAAATTGGCCACCATAAAGAGTGTCAAGGCTGATATTTTTGAGTGTTAGCCCTTCATCATTTGCTCTGACAAAGGGCCAACACTTGAATCATCAGCTTTTAAACTCTTTATAGTGGCCAATTTAGGTTATTAACTGAATTAATAGTACTAAATTACCATGAAATAAAATACTTCCTTATGTGTTATTTTGTTTTTTACAATGGTGATGTTATGAGTATTGTGCACTGATATGATTTTCATTCTACCAGCATTCAATTTCCGTCAATTATTTGTAGTTGACAATGAGAACGATATTCTCTTTTACACTTAAAAGTTTTGAAAGTGATCTTCGTGCTTTAATTTAACTTTATGTCATACAGTGATAGGTCCAGAATACTTGCACAACTTTTTCAACTAATCAGATTTAAAGTTTAAGCCAGTCGTGACTTGGTCACTCGCATTTTCTTGTGCTTCAATCAGTTTGCTTGTCTTTTCTGTTAGTTCCTTGAGAGCTAACTATGAAATTCTCCTTTCTGTTCACTGGCTTTTGTGATTACTTTGGGTTTCACAACACTTAGTCAAAAAGCACTCCACCATTACCTAAAATCATCAAGGGGAAACAGTTTGTAAATTGCTTACGACAATTTGGTTCTAGATCAAGAAAACAACTTTTACCTGATAAGTTTAAGTTTTCTCATTACCTGTCTGGACATTCTGTCACTTACTAATCACCTATGGGAGATAAGAGAGTTAATTAACCCTTCAACTCCCAGATCAAATTTGTAATTCTCCTTACTATCAACCATACAATTCTTATAATGTTGGTTCAGAGAATTTAGTATTAGACCAACAAATTATCCCCAAATTGATACTTTTTATTTTCATCACTTATCTGGTTGTTATTGCATTGATAATGTAAGGAGAATTTCTGTCTTGGTCACTCATGGTAGTTAAAGGGTTGACGAGTGAAATACATCCTTTAACCAGACGTTCCTTAAAATGACATACTTTTAAACGTTTAACTTAAACGGTTATCTAACTCTCGTTTAACTTTTACGATTATAAAATGTAGTGTTGTTCTGGAATCCGTAGTGAGACGCATTTTAAAACCTTCACTAAAGGCTCCAAGAACCTCCCGCTTCCTTCCTCTGTCCCTATCGGATCAATAGCAGTATCTGAGCGACTACGCATCAGCCCCTCCCCTAACCCAGCATCAAATCTAACTTGTAATCAGTTGACTGTTTTTGGTTTAAGGTAGGGGTAGGTGCGGAGTTTCTCAGAAACTGACATTGATCCTCCTTATCAGTCAGTCAGCAAAGCGGTGCTCTCGTCTAGAAACTCGTAATGAAATTTTATTAGGCAAAAAAATGAGCATATCTTCCTTTTGATGAACAACGCAAGACGGGCCAGTTGTGACAGAAGTGCAAAAAGGACAAGGAGAGCAGCCAGCGCAGGAAATGAGCAGAGAAAGGCGACCAAGATCCATCGAAGCACCACCATAACATGCTTGTCGGGTCCCTCAGGCTTGGTGGCAGAAGAGGAAAGAGTAGCCGATGTAAGGTTGATCACAGCTATGCAGGCCAACGTGATCAAAGACAACGCTCCGAGTTTGTCTGCAGTCGGGTGACGGAAGGGTTTCATGACGAGATGATGGACTAACATCAGAATACAGGCCACGGACAAGCAGAGGAAGCAGATCATGGAATTTGGAATGAAGGCGCGGAATGTCAGAAGAACGAGCCGGCTGCCTATCAAAACACTTTCCCAGTAGAGAGTGCCGCGATCATTTTCACGTGGCGGGCGGAAGGGACCGTGTAATATCTTTGATATTTCGTCGCTGCATTCATGGTGCACTTGAGCTTTTCTGCGGTTCTGTCTGCTGCATACACTTTTGAGGAGCCAGCGAACGAGAAACGGAAGGGGAACAATGCAAGCGCCAACAAACTCTTTCCATGTAATTGCCTTGGCGTAGAGCAGACCAGAACCCCAATACAGAACGCCGACAAACGGGACCACAAATATAACAGTATATGCCAAGAGACCATGCTGCCACCATTGCCAGCAAACGATGTTGCCATCGATGTTGAGGCGCCATTTGGAGCCGATGGGAACACACTGCATGAGTTTAAGAGATGTTTCTGCCAGACGCTCGTAGCCCAGTAACAAAATCTCTACTGCAACCGCGACGTAATGAGTGAATGATGGTCTTCCCTTTCCCATTGCCAGATTCAGCGACCTGTGAAGGAAGTAAACGATGAAAACTTGCGCAATAGCAGCGAAAACGAGGGAAGATAAGAACAGCTCTTTGGTCACTGCTGTGAGGCCGGCAAATGGGCAGCCGAGGTTTTCGTCCAAAACGTGGACTTGAAAGTTAAACGCGGCAACTAAGGTGGAAATATAGGGAACATTGGCCAATATGTTCTCCAATGATTCAGTGAGAAGCAACTCTGCAACTTGGTAAAAATAAAAGACGATCTTCATATAACCATACTCCGGTTCTTCAGCTTTGTGCAGAGATGAATGTCCCTCCATCTCGAAAGAGATCTGTCCATCTGTTTTAAACCACAGAATTTGACGTTTCAAATACAGAACCAGTGGAGGCTTCTTCAATAGATAAATGGTAAACAATACGGTGTAAACTCCCATAAGAATCCAAAGATAATTCCATCTGCATTTGTGGGATTGTCGACATTCTGACGAGAAAAGCGTTTCTGAGTATCCTGCGGCACATCTTCCACACAGGATACCGGACCTAAAGTCACGGCAACTGTTGTAATCATTACTTTGATATAAATCTTTGCGTTGAGGACGACAATACTCCCATGGACAAGGTAAGAATTTCAAGGATGAAATGTTACTAGAGTTTGTGATTTTGTAGCCCCAGAAATTGGGCTTTGCCAGAATGTTGTTGGGTCCATTGCAGTGGGCACCAAATGGACAGTTTTGACATCTGAAGCCTTTGCTAACTTCTAGTCCTCTGGAAAAGCCACGTTGAAGACTGTACATTTTAGAGGAACACATTCTGCAACTGAGTATCTCAGATGTTAAATTTATTCGACAAAAGTTTCTGTCATCTCCTTCGTCGTAAATAAAATGAGAGAAATTGGAGAAGTAGAGTTCGCTGCCAACTGCACATTGGATTGTTGAGCTAGAGTCCATCTCGAAGTAGCCTCCGGATTTTATTTGTATAACAGGTCCCCGTGTGGACCTGTTTCCCATATCGGAGTGAAAAGAGGTGTTGAGTATTTTTATCGGGCCTCCACTCTCTGAATAAAAAAATCTTCTATGACGAAACGTAATCCCTCGGAATTCCTCACTTAGCTTCGTCCGTTTGAACACGCAGCTGTTCAACTCAACTTTGGCGCTTCCGTGTCCAACATAAATTTGTCCTGTGTCACTTGAGGCAAAGTTGTTAATGAACTCGCATCTTCGAAATTTGACATAGCTATTGATGATCTGAACAGCCCCTGCCTTGTGTCCAAGGTTATTTTGAAACGTAGTGTCCTCGAGCAAGACATGATTGAAGTATTTCCACGTGCGATGGGTATTGTTTGTCACACCATTATCAACACATCCTCTATTTTCTATTTCATCCGTATCGAAAAGGAACATGAGTGCCCCTTGGCTGGTCCTATCAGTGACCTGGTGTTTGTAATATGTTCTCGTCCATTCGTCTATTTCAAGACCAAACCCGTCTCGAAACAAGCAACGGCGAATCTTGATCGTGTTGTTACCCTTGGAGAAGAACGCAAACGAATTGCTGGGTCTGCTTTTGAACGTCACATCTTCTATTTCAATTGCTGCTTGAGAAACATTTGTCCTCTGTAAACGAGGTATAATAAGACGAATACCAAAAGTGGTGTTCACATGCCTCTGTACTTCTTTACCGTCAAACAGTGTGTTTCTCACCCGAAAGGCGATATTAATGGTGTTGTAAAGTAAACCATATATGTCGTGAGTGTTATTCTGGAATTTGCAGCCTTCGATAGTAACATTTAGATGAAAATTGTTTTTATAATACCAGTCCGAGAAGAAGATGCCCAAACCGTTCAGTGAAGAAGACATGGTTACGTTGACTAAGGCCAAGTAAAAATTAGGAGTTATGCTTAAGGCCGTTTTATTATTTTTGACAAAAGACGTATTGGAAATTATGACAGTTCCAGAATGACTTTCCTTTCCCCCAACTCGAAAGATTGCCGCAAGCAATGTCTTATTCCCTGATTGGTATGCGCTGTTATTGTAAAAAAGGGATTCGTGGACTCTGACTAAAAGTGTTGCATTTTTCCTTCCAAAGATTGTTACACACCTAACCTGATCATTATCCTTGCACTGTAGTCGATGAAATGTTACTTTGGCTTTCTGGGCTACTGAATAGTAAAGGCTACGAGGCGTCCTCTTAGAGATAACGAAGTTGTTCCGCTCAAGGACGACGTCATCGTACTTCTCTGACGTACTAGCTTTGGGGAGGTTGATCGCTAGAAATGGGCCGCCGCTGTGAGCTACCTTTACCTTTTCAACAGCGATAGACAGATCAATCTTGGGAGAAATATAACTGTTTAATACAAGAACTTCCCTTTTGAAATAATCTAAAATCCCATGGTTCAGGAAGTTAGTGTCCTTGATATCTAAAGAGAATTTCAAGACTTTCTCAGAGCCTCCAGAAAATTGTATTTTCACACAATGGCGAGAGTTGTTTTGAAAGAGAGAACCTCGAATGGTGACATTTGCTATTGAGCTAGCTGTAGTGTTAATAATGACAGCTTCATTGGCGTTCTGATGGGTGCAGTTGATAAGTGTGATTTCAGAACAGTCTATAAATCTCAGGGGTGTTTCAAAGAATGTTATTCCAGTTAAAGTGACTCGTAGATCTTCGTCTGACCGATTAAAACAAAACCCTGTCAGGCATCGTATGTGGGCTCGAGTAAAGTTTAGACTAGTTATCGTTACGTTCCTTGTAATTTGCGGAATGCCACGATAATGCAACGTAAGTAGTTTCTTACAGTCGAACGGTTGCTGGTCTGTCCCGTTCCCATTAAGGACAATGGTTCCACCTGACGCAACTCGCAATGCTGCCACTGCTATTGTTCGGCATGGTGCTTCCATGGCACCGCATGCCTCCGTGTCATTTCCAAATAATGAAACTTGGACAATTTGTCGGTATGTTGCGAAACTATCTACAAACAAAGGTTGGTGATATATATTTATAAAAAGTCATCACAAAGAGAGTAAGCAATGAATTAGACTTTTAAAAAGTCGATTTGGCATCCATCCCACAGTAAGGAGTTCTAATGGGTGAGACTAATTTCAAAATCTGAGTTAAGACTAATTTTGGAAATCGACATTATTTGAGTTCGGTAACCAAAATAAGCTCTTTGAATAAATGAACACGTTTTAACTGGCATTTTTCTTGCAACTCGGCAAAGAGAAAAAGGGAAGAACCAAAATGGATAGGAGAAAAAATCTTACTTGATCTGACTCTATGACTGACCGATTAAAAACATAAAAGAGTACATTCTGAATAATGAGCGGATGTCCTGTGTTTCCAACAAACAAAATGTTTACCGAGATACCCTTTTTCGATTTTCGAGACAAGTTTCTTTGTTGCTAGAACTCTTGGTTAAGACGATTGAAAACAGTAACTGATAAAAAATACATATGTTTTTAAGTTCCTGCTGAGTAAATTTCCTTTTCGATTTTCAGTTTCTATTGCGAGGAAAACAGTCGAAGTGAAATTTAAGTTCCTATAGTTGCTTCCAAGTTAAGGTCGTTGGTTAATTCGCGCTGAATTCTTTGCGGCTAACTCGAGAACACAAACAGATACCGTCGCAACGGCTCAATTTCTATAAAATAACTCAGATTACCACAGCGAAAACGAGGGCCTCTCGGAAAAACTGGGTACGAGTTACGATCGCTAATTTCCATAGACAGTTTGAACTTACTGCTTTCGCTACGTGTACACGGTTCTCTAGCTTCAATTTGTCTTTTTCCCTTGGATCCACGAAAACTAAAATATCTAGGCTCACTAGATTCGACCGCAATCGTTCATTTACGGCTAGTCTTTAAGACTGAAGGAATGGGTTGAGTTTTTTTCAGTAATACTAAAGATCTGTGCGATTAAATTTCCGTTTCCTTTACAGGTTCAAAACTTCAGTGAGCCTATACCAACCATCGAAATTGAAATTCAAAGTGATTTTTTTAATGTGCATTATAGAGTTAACTTTTTCTAAATTCGCATAATAAACTCTGAGGATGTAAGCGGAAAGGTTTCGAGATCACTGTTAGAAAATGGTTCCGTTTTATGTTGAAATTGCCTCATTTTGACAAACTGATGGTTTCCTTAAAATGTGTCATCTTTAAAAATCCAGAGAAAGGTGAATTTAAAACAAGTTGAGTTAAGTTACTTGTGGTAAATTTATTTAATTACCATAACGTTCGATCAACGGATTTGTAGAAGATCCACTCAGATGAAAGGAAAAACCCTTACAACATATCACAAAATATTACACCGAAATTTGAAATAAAATTTTGCAACCACATCGCTCTTCCACACCGCAGACGTTAACGATCATAGCATTTCCGTCGTAAGTCATTTTTAATACAAATGAGGTCATGCACATAAAAACTTACCTGTTAAAGCACAAAGGAAGATCATGACTAACAGGAGAAGATACGATAACGGCCAAAGGCCTGCCATCGAGAAATCAACTTTATCTGAACTGCAACAGTCACTTATTTTCCACAGCCCTGCTCAAGTAGTACTAACAAGGAAGTTTTCAGTGTCAAAATATTTCAATTCCCTTAGAAAATGAAATAATGTGGAACCTTCATTCAAGGGACACCCACGGGACAAGAAAAATTGACCCCTGAATGATGTTTTTTTTCTAAGCTGTGACCGTATTGGTCGGTATGGAAACTACTAAAATTTTGGTGGTTCAACAAGTTTGCAGCACTAATTTAGTTACTGGTAAGCAGCAGTTATGTTGAACGTTGTAATGTTTTTCTAACTTATGGTCAAACTAAGATAGGCATCTTCGCATGATTTAATTCCCCGCAAACTAAGAATGACAACAAATATCGCCTTTCTCGACACCCTCGTAACGAGGGAACCAGACGGTAAACAGAACGAGAATGGTTTAGAACAATAAAGGTTTGCCCATATAAAGAAAGAAAACGTCAACTTATAAACACAGAATGAAGAAAAGTGACTTGACCTGAGATCGAAATTTTATGATTCACACCATCCACAATCAGTAAAACGCGGTCCGTTTGTCAAATGCATTTTATTTTTTTTGCATGACCGAGAATTAAATTAAACGCTTTTTTTAAACGCATCATCATCCAAGCCATCAGGAACAGCCCAGGAGAAGAAACATCTGTCCACAGTTCTCGTCGCCAACGGAAAAGAGATAGAATAGATATGCCTTCGAAACCATTTGTTACGAAAGAAGGTGACTGAAACCAGGAATCCAGCACCATCCACAAGGTAAAAACAGCAGAATGTTTCAAGTCCACCGCAGGAACAGCCCAGGAGTGAAACATCTATCATACATCAAACGGCTACCCTTCGCCTTTGTTGGTCTGAAACCAGGAGTCCGAAAACAGCAGACTAAGATCTCGACTAGTTAGACCAAAAGATCTCGCTCCCAAACAAGCCAGATGGCGTAGTCTACAAGATACCATGCGCATGCGGCAAAGTCTACACCGGAGAAACGGGACGACTCATGCAAAAAAGAACGAAAGAACACGACAGGGATATACGACTCGCACGCACTCAGAATTCCGCGGTTTCAGAACATGTTAACGGAACCGGACACAAGCCGCTGTGGAACGAAATAAAGTTTATTGACTGAGACAACCATTGGTACACAAAGAAAGCGAAAGAAGCAGTTCACATAAGACTTAACCCGAACAACATAAACAGGGACAACGGAGCCGAAATACCGGAAACTTCAAAATCGATACTTTGATTTAAGACTAACGCAGTTTTCCACAGTGACTTCTTTAAGTGAAGCATAGAGAGCGTATTTTAATGGGGTCGACTGCGGCTTGTGCGTCGTCCCAAGCAGGTTGGCAGAACCTTCCGCGGTAGCAACACACTCAGTGAGGTATATGTGCGGTCTGCCATGGGCATGCCAGGCTCTAAGGCGGCCCTCGAAGAACTCATGAGCCGAGTGCTTGGTGACCTATTGAAGGAAGGCATCGTAACCAAAATCGTAGACGACCTGTATTGCGGCAGAAACTCCACAGATGAACTCCTGCTGAACTTGAAGAAAGTCTTACAAGCCCTGCGCAAATAAGATCTTCGCCTTTCCGCATCCAAAACGATCGTCAACCCTCAGTCCACAATGATACCAAGCTGGATATCGAACTCTAGCAGTTTACGTGCCAGCCCACATCACATCGCTACTCTTGCCTCGTGCCCTGAACCTGGCACTGTAGCCCGAGAATGAGGTCATTCATCAGAGCTTTCAAGGTGCTCTCCTGCGTCATCCCTGGATGCTTTATATTACTCGCAAACCTTGACGACACTATCGCTGGCCGTGAATCTAAATAGACGCTGCAGTGGACAGGTGACCTCCATGCGTCATTCCACAAGGCTCAGGTAGCCCTTTCCACCGCTTAAACCATCTCGCTCCCCATTCCGAGTGATTACCTGTGGATTGTAACAGACAGAGCACTCCGCAAACCCGGAATAGGCGCCATGCTTTACGTCACCCGTAATGACTTAAACTGCCGTAAGTTACGCCTGGCAGATTTTTTAGCGCCAAACTGCGAGGCTCACAATTAACGTGGTTACCATGTGAGATGGAAGTTCTAACAATCGCCATTGCCACTAAACACTTCAGCCTATACCTGATACAGTCCCATTATAATGCCTGCATATTGACCGACAGCAAATCTTGCGTGCAGGCTTATGAAAAAGCTTTGCAGAGGAGAATTCTCAGCGAGCCCCCGGGTATCTACCTTTCTGTCTACCGTGAGCCGTTAACAGGCTTCTGTAAGATACTTATCTGGCTCTGCAATACTACCGTCAGATTTCTCCTACGTGTGAGGATGAAGCCTGCCAGGTCTTTGTCTTAACAAGGATCACCAAGGATGCTGTTATCGGACTCACGTTAATCTAAGACGTACTCAGTGGCAATGAGCATCTTCCGTTCACCAGTCGCACTGCCTGGTTGGCCACACAGGCGGAAAGTCTCGATTTACGACGCATGCATATGCATCTACAACAGGGAACGCGTCCTTCGAAAAAGCTCACCAACATGAGAGATTTCAAAAGGTACCTCAATGTTGCAACCATCGCAAAGGTTGGCTTACTCGTTGTTAGGCGAAACGAGACTCTCGCTTCCACCTGCGAATGCATTGTTTTCCTTCGGCAGGTACTAGAGGGACTCTTAACCGGGTTATACATTAAGCTCAGTCACTCATCCAGTAATCAACTCAAGTCTGTCACAAAGCACTATCTGTATGCCCTGGATATAAATTAGGCCATCGACCAAGTGTCTATAGCTTGCCAACAGTGTGCTGCCTTGCGTAAAACTCCGAAAGTGCGGGAGGAGCAGTCAACCTCCCTTCCACCGGATGCCGTTGGCGTTTCGTTCGCCGCAGACGTTATCAAACCATCGAGACAGCTTGTACTAGTGCTACGTGAATGCGTAACTTCTTTCACTGCCACGACTCTGTTAGAGGATGAGCGACACCACGCACTACGCGACGCTATTATCCGCCTATGTGCCCAACTGAGTCCACTAGATGGACCGCCAGCCGTCGTACGTACTGATCTTGCCTCAGGATTCAAGGCGCTAGCTGAAGATCAACAACTAAAGCATCACAGAATCACCACAGAGGTCGGGAATGCTAAGAATCCTGTATTGGAGAGGGTGGTTCAAGAGATCGAAAACGAGTTTCTCCGATCCGACCTCCTAGGAGGACCCGTGTCTTTGTGAGACTCGCAGTAGCCACAGCCAACCTCAACGCACGCATCCGCTGACGTGGCCTTTCCTCTAGAGAGATGTGGACACAGCCAGATCAATTCTCAAACCAGCAAATACCTCTGCATGACCAAAGCATCATCGTTAAGCAGAACGAACATCGTATCGCCAACCACACCCACGGCGAAAAGGCGAAGGCCCCCATCTCGACATCTGCTACTCAAGAGGTTCCTGATGTCAACCTTCCTACTGAATGATATGAGCCCTGCG